TTGTAAATTCAATTAAGCATCAAGCTGAATCATTAGACACATAAATGCCTTCATTGTAAATCTATTGCTAGTTTCTTTGCATTGGTGTGGGGGTGTAGAGCAGCCACAAACTGATTATATAACCTAGGTTTATAGCTGCTTCATATTGCCAGAGCTGCATAAGGAAGCTAATATGAATGCTTTGATCAAATTTTAATTTACATTTTAATAAATAATTAAATCTTGATTTAAACAAAAAATCCCTGCCAACATACAAATGTATGTTGACTTAAAAAAAAAAAAAAAGTGGGGGTGATGGGGGGAATTATGACCCTGTCAAAATTCATAAGGAATACAGTATTTCCAAGGCTAATGATATATTCTTACTAGATGTAATGTAATTAACTTCTAGTTAGCATTGATGAAGGTTTTCACTGGCTGGCCTGAGGAGCATTCCAAATGAAAGGAGAGATATAGAGGCAAGCCCAGTTGTCTGCATGTGAATTTTCCATTGAAGATGACTTATTGTAATATTCCATTAAAATATATATCTTTGAATAGGTCTTCTCTTTTGGCAGACAACGTTCTTTGGGTAGATGTGATATCTTTTATTAGACTAAATAAATAGTTAAAAAAATGTTCTTCGCAGGTTTTCAGGCACAAACACTCTTCTTCAGGCATAAGGAGAGTCTGTTGGTGTTTTTGTTTTTTCCTTCCTGGGTAGAATAGAAACCTATATGCAAAATGCAGGTCTGTGAAAATGCAAATGCATGGCAGTGAGGGTCTAAGGGAATTGGAGAAAATAGGTGAGAGACAGGTAGGGGGGGAGGGGAAGGAGGAATGTAGAACTGGTGATAAAATGTAGCTAGTAAAATGCAGATACATTACCTGGGGTTATCAGATGGCAGGCAGGATATAATGTGTCTTCTCTTTTGTGTATTTTCTCTTTCAAAGATGAACTAATACTACATTAGAACAAATAAAGTACATTTAATACAGCTGTTCAATGTGTCAGACTTTTTAAGAGTTAGGACCTTCTCCAAACAAAATCTCTTTAGATGTGTTTTGTCATACGGTACCATATGGTATCATATTATTGTGATATATGTGTTAGTGAGTTATACTATAAGTAACAAGCAATTCTAAATTTTGAGGCTATAAATCCATAAAGAAGTTCTGGTGACATTTTTAGCCACAGCAAAGCGTAATTAGCTTATGTCATTACCAGAACCCTGAAATGGAAGGGAAGTCTTGTAACGTAATGTTTGCTTATTCCTTTACATAATGTATAATAGGTAAGACAGTAATTGGTTTGTTTGTTGGTAGTGGTGGTGGTGGTGGTGGTGGTGTGTGTATGTTTGTATGTGTGTTTTAAGATTTCAAGTGTTTTCTTGATGTAATTTAGAGTCATGGCAACATCAAAGTCCTCTCACGATACAAGCATCAGAGTCTAACTCAATACTCTAATTGCTGCATCGACATCATATTTACATGTGACATTAGACAAGCATAAATGTAATGAGATGATGCACACATAAACAACTTTGCAAAAATTCCATTAACAGTAGCATTAGATCCAACCCATGCTTTGACAAACTTCAGGTCCTAATCCAGAGTTCAAAATTCATGTTCCACACACAGATAATGGTCTTGAATGCAGATTCTGAAAATGAACACTGATGAGTGATAAGGCATTCAAATCCAAGATCTTCTGAGCATTATAACTTTTTTGATAATACATTCTTATTTGGTACTATACATATAGTATAGATCTGTGTGGGGTGGGAGGTTTCTTGTTTGTTTGTTGTTAAATCCATTTCATTGGAAAAGAAAGCACTATGAAACTGTGAACAATGGAAGGCATACTGGGTTTAATTTGGAGGAGGTCTCTAATGTTATTTACCTTTTTCACAAAAAACAAAACAAAACTGGATTCAGAAACCTCGGGTGTAAGAGATCCTATATCCTTCTTATGGAGCCTGTATCAGTACATTGCTGTTCTTATATTTTAATAAAATCTAACCTAAATCATCTTTGCTGTAAGTAAAGCTGATATCTTCTTACTTTCTCCCAATAGGCATCAAGAACAAATGATAATCATTCTTTTCATGGTGACCTTTTACATAATGAAAAACTATTATCACGTTCCTCTATCAGTCTTCCCTTTTTCTAAACTAAACAGACTCAGTTCCTTTAACTTGCCCTTATAGTTAAACTTTTCCTTTAACTTTGCCTATCTTTTTTCTATATCACTTATAGAAGTGGTATTGCTCTCCTTTGAACTCTTCATTTAAAAAAAAAATATTTTCCTTAAAGCTATAGAACTCAATTTGATTTAATTATTTCCCATATCTTACACATACTACTTCATTTAATAATAATAATGTCTGATGCAGACCTCATCCATTTAGTTCTTTAGTCTGGCAGATTTTAGCCTTCCCTGAGTTAGGACATCAGACATGAACCTTAACCAGATATAACTATAAAGGAGCAGCTCACACAGGCATCTCCTGTGTGGTTTGAACTTGCCCTCTAAATGCTCTGTCTTGTAACATTGTCTTTCCCCAAAAGATGGAAAGAAGAGTAAAAATCGAGTTCCTTTCTTTAAGAATGCTTCAGGTGTTTCTCCTTTGTGAGTGAGGGAGCAAGGTCCTCAATATAGTGAAACAATCATGATTCAGTTGCTCAAGTGGGCAGCATCTGAGAAGCTGACAAAGAATATTTGTGAAACCTAGCTTCAAAGGAGACCCCCCATGTTTCAACTTGCAGTAGTACTTGTAGACAGTGGAGTATCTGTTGTTATATGGCTTCGCTGGCCTTTCCTTTCACAGTGGGGAGGGAAGACAGCTTACTGAATACACCCTAGGACAGGGTTTCCTCTTCCCCAAGGTACAAACTATTGTGCAGTTTGACTGTTCAGGAAGCAGTCTTATTTCCCCTAGGTGCTTCCAGTTTCTGCCATATCAGAGAGCTTGGGGTCTCTATTGCTTCTGTGAACCACAGATCCAGAGAAATAATATAGCTATTGGTTAGGTCAGGGGTGGGCAAAATACGGCCCACGGGCTGGATGCGGCCTACAAGGCTATTCTATCCGGCCCGTGGGGCCCCTAAAAATGTAGAAAATTAATATTTCTCTGCCCTTGGTTCCTGTAAAAAATGACAGGAACCAAGGGATTTAGGGCCCAAGGGAAGCCCAGCAGGCTCCAACACCAGCAGGGCCCGCCCGGCCCTGTGCCCTGGGAGCACATGGCTGCCCTGCGCTGGAACCATAGATAGGTGGTGGGGAGAAGGGCGGGGGGGACCCCAGGCAGGGGAGGAGCGCGGGAGGGCGGTGGGGGAAAGCGGCCCCTTCCACACCCCGTGGCTGGTACCCCATGCTGCAGCTGCTTGCAGTCCATGTGGGGCTTCCTGTGCATGCTCCGGACAGCCCCATGTGGGCTGTGAGAGGCTGCAGCATGGGGCGGGGGAGAGGCCACTTTTCCCCCTGCACCCAGCTTTTCCCTGGGCTCCTTCCCGGCACAGAGAAGAGCGGCCCCTCACCTGCCCCATGGCTGGTGCTCCCTGCTGCAGGCACTTGCAGCCCGCACGGGGTTGTCTGGAGTGGGCACAGGCAGCCCCGTGCGGGCTTTGAGTGGCTGCAGTGTGAGGCACCAGGCATGGGGCAGGTGAGGGAAGCTGGTGCTGAGCACAGGGAAGAGCAGCCCCTCACTCTCTATGTGGGCAGTGCCCTGTGCTGCAGCTACTCACAGCCCACCTGGGACTGCCTGTGCCTGCTCCCAACAGCCCTGTGCAGGCTGCAAGTGGCTGGCACAGGGAGTATGGGGTGGGTGTGGGCTTGCTTTTCCCTGCACTCAGCACTAGCTTCTTCCCTGCCGGCGAGCAGGGGGTCAGTGCTGTGTGCTATCCCCCGCCTGTATCACAGGAATGGGGAGTACTGGGTGTGACTGGGCTGGGAGCACAGGGCCCGCACTGCTGCCCCGGTGTCAGTACCAGCGGGGCCCAGAGCAGGGTGGCAGGAGCACGGGGTCTCAGCTGGCAGGGGCTCTATGGAGCCAGGCCAACTCCACCCTCTCCTTGCTGGTGCAGCCCAGCCCAGCTCCACAGACCCCTGCCAGCCTGCGCCTCACTTCGGGCCCCACCAGTGCTGGCCCTGGGACATTGGGTAGCCCCGATGGTGACCAGGGAGTGGGTCACCTGTCAAGGGGTGGGGTACCTGTCAAGGGGTAGAACTACCCATGTGGCCCTTGACAGCCTGCCAAAACTGGGTAAGTGGCCCTCCACCCAAAATAATTGCCTGCCCCTGGGTTAGGTAAACCTCACTGAAACTGGGAAGAGGGGTATAACCACCACCAGGGACATTGGGTAGCCCCGATGGTGACCAGGGAGTGGGTCACCTGTCAAGGGGTGGGGTACCTGTCAAGGGGTAGAACTACCCATGTGGCCCTTGACAGCCTGCCAAAACTGGGTAAGTGGCCCTCCACCCAAAATAATTGCCTGCCCCTGGGTTAGGTAAACCTCACTGAAACTGGGAAGAGGGGTATAACCACCACCAGTTAAAGATATAATAGAAATAAACCCAGGTACCTGGACTAACAACGTCCTTTACCACAACTGAAGGCACATTTCCGAACCCCGAACAGAAGCAAACATGAGGCTGCTCAGAAATTTGACCTGCATCCCTGTTCCATCAGTCCTCCAGTTCTCTTCCTTAGTTGATCCATTTCCCGCTCATTACTTCACCACTGATTCAGTTCTGTTATATCCTATCCAAAGAGCACTACACCTTTTTTTCTACAAATGGTCATTTCTTACATACTGTCTCAGAGCACTAAGGTGTGCCTGCTCCTTTAAGGGCAGAAACTGCCTAGAGAGAGGGCCCTAGGAGCCAGGCAGAACCCCCACAGGTGCAGGTTGCCATGGCAGCAGGCTAATGAGGGAATTAGTCGGCAACTGCACCTGGTTGGCTGCCTGGAAGAAGGCAGGACCCTGGGCACCTGTAAGCCCTGGGGCTGGAGGTGGCCAGTTCTCTGACAGCAGCCAGCGGGGAAGGAGGTCATGTATGAAAGCTCCATGGAGATGCTTGGCTGCTGGTAAGACTAACGGAGCTCCTAAAGTGCCTGGGGATAGGAGGCACACACTGCTGAGGGAGAAAATGGCCCTCTTAAAGGGACAGAATGCAGCCTCCAGTGTCATTGGTATTATTATTGTTAGGTTATAGCCTAGGGGCTCATATTTTTGTTGTTTAATCCAATGGACTGGGATGGGGCTACTGGGGAGGAGGAGGCCTCACTGGGGCACACTACTGTGCAGAGCCCCAGTGCCAGAGGGAGCAGTGATGTGGGTGAGCAGACCCCAGCACCAGAGGGTGCAATTCCGGAGGCTAAGGGTCCAGTGACAAGAGGCTGAACTAAACTGAGGCCTCATCACTAGAGACAACATCTACATACCATCTGTGAAGCATGGGGTGTGGTAAAGGGGCAGTTTTGGAGCCATGCATCTAGCCCATAAGGCTTGCGGTGTCTTACGAGGCACCTGCTTAGAACGGGACCCAGCAAAGAATCTAAAAGTCCTCAGGGTTTAGTGGGGTCCATCAGGACTATGACTGCTTAGCAACTTGAGGGCAGCCTCCCTATCTACTATCTTAACCAACAAAGTATGGCAGTTGAGACTAGAAGGTACCTGCAGGGTGAAGCTGGCACAGTCACAGGGCCCTAGAGGAATCACAGCTGTCTCTAGGGACCCCACCCTGTGACATACTGATTTCAAAAGAAATATTTAGATTTATCTGATATTTTCTGTTTCCTAGCCCCCTCTTCAAGTTATATGTATTGTACAATTAACTGGTCAGTAATGCAGCTGCCTTGAGACCAGCTACACATACAAAGTAGCTATCACACCAACCAGCTATAAAGTTAGACCTAAAAAAGTTGTACTAATTTTACACTTTACTAATTTGCACATGTAGCAGGGTCTCCCCTGCAGCTGGGAGCCCCATCAGCTGATGGAGATTCCAGGCACAGGGTTATGCCATGCTCAGCCAGGGCTGGGGGTTGGACAACTAAGAGGATTCTCAGCCCTGGCAGCTGCTGACTGTGGATCCTGGAAGCACCCCACAGCTTCCTGGGCCCAGAGTCTGGCAGCTGTGGATGTTGGGTCCCAGCAGCATGACTCCTGGTGCTAGGACTTAGCTGGGTCTCCAGCAGCAGTGCAATGGTGGCTGTGATCTCTCAGCCCCGGTGGTGCCTGGAGCCCCAGGGCTGAAAGAGCACAGCTGCAGCAGTGCTCCAGCCTTGGAGGCTCCCTGCACCCCCAGGGTGGGAAGATCATAGCTGCCATGATCTTCCAGCCTTGGGGGGCGCGGTGGGGGAAGGGGAGACTGTGAAATCAGAATAACCAGATGCAGGGCTTCAATTACCCCCAGGAATGGAAGATTGTAGCAGCTATCTCCCAGCCCTGGGGGCATGTGTGGTGCCCCATGGCTGGGAACCCCTCAGCTGATGGGGGAAGCTTGCTTCTTTACTGGTGCAGGGGGAGGTGAGGATGAGGCTGGGCTTCCTCTGATGCAATAAAACCTTATGGGATCAAATGCAAGATCCCACAGTCATAACTTCTGCCATGCACACGTGTCATGGCAGGAGGCGTGATTATATAGATCAAGCATTAGAACCTATTGCACATGTACAGAGGGCCCTAGTGATATGTAGGAGTTAAATCATTTCCACACACTATTTTCACTCTTTAAATGTTATTCTCCAGTGTACTCATGCCTTTAGAAAGATGTGGAAAATCCTTCTCTGAATCTCTGCTTAATTATTGTTCACTTGTCACCACTTTGAGATCCCTTAGGAGTAAGATGGCTTCTGAAGTAATTTTCAAAGGAAGCAGCTTTAAAAGGAACATTTTAAGTTCATTCTCTGTTTCCTGGTAATTTGAGCTTATGATCTAGTTTTAATGTTACAGTCCAATTTCAGTTTGCCCACTTCACATAATTTGTTTACATCTATTTTTTGGATCACTTTGAACAGGTTCTTGCTATATGAGGCTAATTTGTAAACAGACCCAAGTGAATAATTGTTAATGGGATCAGTTATTTTACAAAGTTAGCTTTTTCTGTTGAGAAATAACTTGCAAATTTCTTCAGTGAATATTTTTAGATCTGTAAATTATTTAACACTGATATTCACCAGGAATATCTGGAATCAGCAATTATGTGAATAAGAACAATTTTTTTTTTTGGTGGATGATCTGATTGGCCGATCTGTTTAGTTAAATAACAAAGCAAGAGTGCTGGTTGCAAATTAAAGTGCAAAATTCATAATCTGTAGGGCAATTGCATAGTTGTCCAACTCAAATTCACCTTTGCAGCAAGTGAAACTGTAATTTCATCTTGGTTAATGGGGTGGTTAATGTGGGATGGTATTATTCAAACTTTCTTTTTAGCATCATATAGCCATTATTCCTAATAGTTTTAATACTTTTGCAGTTCTAATCAAAAGAATTGTTACCTAACAATAGTAGCATCAGTGGAGTTAATCCCATCCATTAGATAAAGTGTCTTTCCATATCTTTTCCAATACTCTCACCATTTTACTAGCCATCACTTCTCATTGCAGACGAGTAGAGTGATAATTGAATGATCAGCCCCCATCTTGGAAAAGCATTAACAATTATACTTACTTTCTCAACTTCTCCCTCTTCCCTATAATCTGAACTGAAGCACGTTCCCACAGCATGCCTCCCATCTTCTGCCAGCTCAGGAAGCAATAATTAGTGTATAGCAAGAATAATATCTGCAGTTATATTAGCTAGTATAAAATTACAATGGCTATCAATCCTCATGCTGAAGGCTTAAGCTGATCACCAGCTGGAGTTAGGGCAAAATTTCCCCCTGTAGTATAGTACTGCACAATTAGGCAGGAGGTTTTTATGCCTTTTTCTAAAGTGTCTGCATTTGGCTACCCTTAGAGACAGGATATTGCAAAATTAACTGAATTTTTGACTGTTTGATATTGTTTGCTCCTTTACTTGAATGAGTGAGAAGCATTTTTAGAAGGGAAGAGTAAAGAAATGCTCAAGTAAGACTGTGTGATACAAGTCCTCTCTGGGATTACTGAAAAGGAAGTGTATGCAAAAATTTTGAAAGTACATTAAATAAATCAGACTAGATGGATATTTTATTTGTTCCAGTAGATTTTAGTAAGCATGTGTGACAACACATGTGTTCAGATTGTTAGATTTATGTCATTTTTATCAATGATGAAACATGTTCATCAGTAATCTATAAGAAAATGTAAGCCACTGCTAATATTTGTAGGCAACACAGATTTACAGAACAATAAACAAATGATGGGGGTAAAATAGTCTTACAGAGTAAACTGGACTGTTCAATCATAATGAGTTTTAATATAGTCAAATGCAATATATTTCTAGTTTTAGGAATGAGGAATGTAGGCCATACCTACAGAATGGAAAATAGTATCCTGGAAAACTAGGATTCTGAAAAGGATTTAGCAGTCAGGCATGAGCTCTAAGTGCAATGTTATGGCAAAAAGAACTAAGATAATCCTGGGGTATGTAAACAGAATGAATTTACCTCTGCTTATGGCCTGAGTGAGGCAGTACTATTTGTAAAGTTTGGATATTTTCCAAAGGGTGTTGAAAATGTTAAGAGTTCAGAAAAGCACTGCAATAGTTACCAGGGGGCTGGAAAAGATGAATTCCAGCAAGAGACTTAAACAGAGTAATTTCTTTAGTTTATCAAAAAGAAGACTGAGGATGACTTGCCACACGTTAAGTGCACAGAAGGAAATCTAAAGCCATAGCTGAACAGACATTCACATAGAGCACTTTAAAATGGTGGATCCTGCTCTAAATTAACCCCAGATGGATGTGGTAGCAGACAAGAGTGCTTTAGGTTATAGCACTTTATTAATCCTATTTCAAGTCAAGGTAGACTGTATTCTGCTGGTACTCAAGGAGATTTAGCAGGCTCCCCCATTACCTTCCTTGCATGGAGGCATGCTGGAACTCAGCTCACTTGGCAAATCCAAGGTGTCAGCTACAGGTGGGGTGCTGGGGAGGAAGGAGTGTCTGTATCTCTGTATTTTTCTAGCATTATACAATCTCCCTAGGCAGGGCAGGGATGCTTCTCAGATGGAAGAATTGTACCCCTCAGTAGGGCAGGCAGAGCAAACAAGCAAGCGGTGGCTGCAATTTGCTATGCTCTGTGTGCATGGGACCTGGTAGGGCCATGGCATGTTACTGTTGCTGGCTCTCTGTGGTGAATGCTTGGGGTGGTGTGTGTGGGTGCACATTCTTCCAGTCTGGCCCAAGGTGGTGGGGATGGGAAAGGGAGCTACTGCTGCTGCTGCCTTTCTTCAGGGAGCAGGGCTTGAGAAGTTGGGGGGTAGGGATGTGTGTGTATCTAGCCTTCCCCCAAGTAATCCTAACCCCCTCCCCCACCAATGTACAGCAGATCCAGGTGGGATAGATGCTTCCAACTCCCATCACAGCTCCAGAGATGCCTGTGCCTAGTCTGCCCCTGCCAGGACTTAGCAGACAGGCTCCCCACTCAGCCCCCAGGCACCCTGCCCTGCCTAGGCAGATTGTATAATTCTAGAAAGATACAGACACTCTTCCTCCCCCACCCCCCACCACACCTGTCGCTAACAGCTTGGATTAGCCAAGTGAACCGAGGTGGTGGGGGATGGCTCCCCTGCACAAGGCTGTGAATCAGGGATGTCTTGCCCATTCAGCTGTGCTTGGGAGACTCTGGCAACCAGGCAAGCCCACAAGGAACACTGGGAGGTGTGTGAGAGCACCCACAGACTGCTGACCTCAGCCACTGCAGGCAGGTTCTGAGCACCCCTCCCCACATCCCCACCAAATAGTGCACATCTGTTCTGTTCAGTCCCAACCTAATCTATAGCACTTTGAATAAAGTACAATACTGCAAGTGATTCTGCCTTGGGTTTTTTTAACATCTATGTTTAGCTTTGATTACAGTCTAAAAGGTACTGTATTTAATTGAATAAAAGATGACCCTTATTATAAGATGACCCCCCCCCCCATAATTAGATTCTATATATGG